ACACTTTGCACCATATTACTAAATGGAAGATTATCATGGATATCCTAAATACATGCTTTTGAAGACAAATTCTGGAAAGTGATCAGGGGAAACTTTAGCACACAGACGGAGGGATTATGGTTTGAAAGTGTAACTGTTTACCCCATTACATTTCTGTTCCACATAATATCCCGTTATTTACTAAATGACTCAAACATTAAACAGCAATTTACTTTTATCTCTGTTACAAAGTCGCATATGAAACTGAATTTTTAAAATTAAGAAATATGCTTTAATCTTACAAAAACTTTACTATACTACCTTATCTGTCCCCCCCACAAAACTTCATACTTATATTTACATAAAGAATATTATAAAAAATTAATCTCTTTTTAATGTTTCATTTTTAGCAAACATAAATGATAGCATTATCGCTATTTTACAACTATACATAGGCTTATAGGCACACAAGTGACCAACATTCCTTCCAGCAAAGGTTGTTTTCAAAATGCTTTGACAAAATTATTACACAAATATGCCGAGTTAATATACTTATAATTTATGTAAATATCCGAGGAAAATATTTTCCCAACTGTTTCAAATACAAATACCTTTAACCTTAAACATTTATTGTAAAACGCTGAATCAGATACGGTATTTTTTGTTTTGCTGGCACAGGCAATAAAGTCGCCAGTAGTGGTACAACTGATGCCAAACAGAATATCATCTCTGGTAACCTTTCATGCCTCATTTTCAAAACCAGTCGCAGGCATTTATCAGATTGGTTGTTTTTTTCAATACTGGCATAAAATTACATAGAATTTTTACCAGATAGCTCAATTTTATGCCCTAAGACCATTCACGCCGGCAAAAAGCAGAACTAGTGTTTTATCTAAGGATCATGAATAATAACATAAAACAAATATCCTAAATGCATCATTTTTAGATTTTATGTGATAATAAACGAGTTCCTTGATAAGGCCATAATGATGTATAAATTTTCACATTAATCCTCTTCGAAAGAAGAGTAAGTAGCTAGAAGTTAGAAAGAAAGTAAGTTCTTAATTTAAGTAGCTAATTTTCTCTCATGTTATAGATTGTATAAAAAACATGATCTTTAATATTATTTAGATTGTTTGTAGCTGATATAATAATCGGGTCACTCAGTGGTACAGAATAAACACTGCTGGACTGTTTTATTTCTGGCATTTAGCAAAAAATCTTTTAATTAAATACTTTAATTAAAATACTTTGCTTTAAATTTTATTTATAGTTAAAATGCTTAGAAAATGAAAAATTAACACAATTGATGTAATTGATATTTTTAAAAAATTGGCAAGAATACAAAATTTATGGAAGAGTAACAATCGAAAAATCTTAATTTTCTTGTGAAGAGCACTGAAAACAAATGTAGAAGGAAAGAAGAAAATTAGGGAGAAAAGTAAGCAAAATTTTGAAGGGGAATTTGTCAGAAATACCAAGGTGATTCGAAAAGTTGGATGCTTCTGAATATACTTTCAGAATACTTCAAGGAATTTGAGTGTTCACAGAGAAAACACATGGACGTGTAAACCAGCAAATACTATCAACTGAGCTTGTGCTAACGGAAAAGACAAAAATGATATCATTGCAGATTAAAATGAAGAGAGACTGGTTTTTGACTATATGTTTGTATAAATTTAAATTATGGTATAGAACATTATATGATCATAAACGGAGAATTCCATGATTTCTTAGTCGAATTATTTGAATATTCAGGAATTTATCCAGTGATGTATGTGAATGTCACCTAAAGACGTTTTTCCCTCTTGATGAAACCAGTCTTTCCTTTCATCTCATGCCTTCAAAATGCTTAGCCTCTAAAGACTGATAAAGGCTCTGACTAAATATTGATGAAATGGATTGAATTGGATTACCAAGTTATGACAAAGTAGGACTATCTGCTTAAAAGGAGGGATGATGCCTTCATGAAGAACTTTCTAAGGGGAACCAGCTGGCATACACGTTACAATGAGAAAAACCACGAAGATGCCCATGCAACCAGCGCATTCGCTGGGATACGAACCCCGGAGCGAACTACCAATGTTCAGCGGCTTTACCGCTTGGCTGTTTGTGGGCCTTTATGAAATGGAAGGCGACAATTTTATTTAAAAAATGAATGCCAGAAATAAAAAGATGTTTAAAAAAATTGGATGCTTTTCAATACACTTTCAGAATGCCTGAAAAAAAGAGCAAGCCATTAAGAAAAAAATAAATTTTTGCATAAAATTTAGTATTTTTTAAAATTTAAAACTTTTAATCTTATGATATTTGATTTTTGTGATTCCAAAATAAAATATTTGACTAAAATATGAATAACATTTTAAGATACTAAATGTAGGATGATAAAATTGTGTAAAGCAACGAGCACAATGTTAAAGCTATTTAAAGCAATATATGCAAATCATCCCAAGTTAAAATGTTGGTTATACATCTTTCTCATTTATATATCTTTTATGAACGGGAACATTGAAAGGCGTGTTAACTGTGCTTTACTGTATTTTCTCTGTTAATATATTCAGTTTTCAGATGCATTGTAGCCTGGGACACTAAGTATTCTTTCGAAAGAAACACAATTTAAATAAAATCCTGGAAAATTTATATTAAATATATTTAAAATGCTCAGTTCGAATGAATAAATAAGAAATTTTAAAACAATTATCTGAAGAGACAATGCAACACAAACAAATAAAAAGTCTCAAAATTTAAAAATTACCTAAAATAACTATGACCAAAATATGTAAATTATAAAGAAAACTACTTGGGGGGGGGGAAAAAAAAAGCACCTTTTATTTATGCCTTCAAATGGGTAAATAGAAATTTTTAAAATAGTTATTCGAAAGAAACCATGCAACTTAAACAATTAAAATGAAAGGTTAATCTTTGGATTATGGTAACTTGGCGATTTTTTGGCAAAAATTTGGCGACCAACCCTGCTATAGCAACCTGCTAGTTTCGTTTTGGACGCCATTTTGTTTTCACGAAGTAAAGGCATTTTTTTTTTACTCACCATTTTATTCCTACAATCTGCTAGCCAAATTACGCTTATGCTAGAACTTTTATGGAACAAAAGTGCTTAATCATGACGAAGATTAGGTGCAAAATTGGGAGAAAGTGCAGAATCGCCCACTGCTTGCGACGTTTTTAAGAATTGCACATACATGGTATCCATGTACACATCGACCTATTTTCACTTAAAAAAAACATGCCAGAATTGCACAAAAATGGCATTGCGCACACTCTTGACTTTATCCATGTGCACTGCTAAAGTCCTAGCCAGTAACCTTTATCGCCTTACCAAAATGTCGCCAAACTACCTGTTACCATATTCCAAAGATTAGACGAAATGAATTTTCATGAAAAGAAAAAAATAATTAAAATAATAACAATTATAATTAAAAATATAATATAAAGAACATTATTTGAAAAAAGGAACGATTGTGACTTTTTCCCCGTTCGCGAGAAAGGAAAATAGGTTGCCATATATTAAGAAGTTCGACACGTGAACTATTCTTGGCGCACACTGAAAAAAAGTGTCAAAATCGGTGAATTTCTCTGTAAATTTCACACCAAATTTTACAAAATTTCATATTTAGGCATAATTTGAGTTGTAGAATCAAAATATAGAAAAGAATTAGTATGCTATTTCAGAAAAAGTCCGATTTTGTGTCAAAATAACTATTTTAGAAGAGCTATATATAAATCTAATATATGTAATAAAAACAAACCTAGAAGTAATGAAGAGCAGAAATTTTGATGACATAGAAGTTTTGATCCATAATGACTATGAAATTGGAGGCGAACACAGATTAAATCTTCATTTTTATTTCCAGCATGCATGTTGTGACCACAAACAAGTCGGCACATTAATTGCGCCTATTTTCCGAAAAGCTTACATTTTAGATAATTTTGCAGTACGATAGGAGGAACAAACAGACAGCAGTGCAGCCAGGCCAAAGCATTGAAAGCAAGTGCTTAATGTTTAGGATGAAATCTTAAGTCAGACTGAGTTAGTTTTGTTTCTCAAAGCATTTTGATTGGACAGTTAATATTGCTGTAAAATTACCATTGGCTGCTTTAGTTCAATTTACATCACCAGAATTACGTAAGAATCATATGACATGGATTTTTCTCGAAATGCAGTGCAAATAGAGGTTGCTATTTTTAGAACAGAGAAGAGGAATGAATTTACGCTGCTATTCTTTATTTTTCTTACATATATATACTAAGTCACGCTTTCGAGACATGAAGAACGCAATTTTGTCAATCAGCCCAGTAGAATGGGAGATATACTGAGTGCGTCATAAATTCGCAATAAAAGAAGGAATGCACAGAAAAATTTTCTGTTTGCGCCAAATATGGTCAAAATGTCATTGGATTTTTTTACATGTAAAAATTTTTTTTACAAAAGTAACCTACAGAGGGCACTCCCACATCATACTGAGATGTTTTATTCAAATCACACAAAAAGAAACAGATAATCAAACAGATAACATGACACTATGCTTTTATTTCATAGTAACAAATGTTCAACATTACCATTACCACCACCACCACACGGTAATGAAATGAGATCACTTGAGGTCACGTGATATGAACCAGCAAATCAGAATGTTGAATTGTGAAAGCATAGTATATTCTTAAATTAATGTCTTTTTACAAATTTATTATCTTTTTATAAAATTTTAAACGATATTAAAATGTTTAAGCCTTCAAAATTAAAAATTCTTAGAACTAACATTTGTTAAATTTTTTTATGTGTATGCTGTATCGTTTCGCCAATAAAATCTGCTTGGCGAGATTTGCACTGGCGAAATGGAAAAGTACCAATATTAAATATTCTCTTAGTTATCAAAATGAATTATTTAAGTTAGATACACACATTAAAAGGTTTTATTATTTTATGCAAAAACTTAGGTCTTTAATACAAATAAAAAATTTATCAATGGAAAAAATATAAAATGCATGTCTGCATAACATACCGAAAGCAGTCTTGTAAATACATGAATAAATGAACCAAAAGCTGCAGCTAATGTTGAAATAGCCACACAGGAATAAACGTTCTTCATGTGTGTCTGAAGCTGCGGCTCCCTGTAAGAATGACAAATGTTTAAATTTATAATCTAAAAATATAAAGAAATAAAAATTAATCTTCATAATATGTAATGCTAACTTTTTTTTGCAACAATACCTTGCCAGTTACCGACATTAATACAACAGATTAATCTCACAGAATATCAGAACCTGTCAACATTTCATACTTTACCTACCGATCGCCTATTAATCCGCTTTCTATCGCCAACACGTACCAGCCGATTGCCTATTGATTGGCTTTTTTCCGCCAACGCCTACCGACCGATAGCCTATTAATCGCTTTTTTCTAGGGGCTACCTAAAAAAAGCCTATAAATTGGTAAACATGGCAATAAACAATTGCCATTTGCTTATATCATCTGCATTTTATTATTGTGGTGAATCTGCAGCTGAGCGGCCGGTCGGACATGCGTATGCTGTGAACCGCTAGCGGTCGGTTAAAGTCTTAATACACAGTGCATTGAAACAATTTACAATAAAACCTTCAATAGGATAAAAAGAAAAACAATTAATTTTGCTTGACCGATAAACATCCAAAACTCTAAAAATAAACCACCTGTATGAGATGAGATTCGAGACAAGAAAAAGAAAACCCAACCGAGCAGAAAAAGCTTACAAAATAGTATTTTTATCAACAGTACTTTTATGTTGCTATCTGAATGGAGAATTAAACATAAAGCGGTATATAATACAGTTCTATATATCTATAACTTTCATATCCCTCTATTACATATAATCTGACTACTAATGAGAAGCTATTCAGAGTTCACATGTGGTGTCTAAATTTTCTGGATACTTGCATATTATCTTGCCTATCGTAAAAGTTTACCTTCAAACCAGGGGAGTTGTTGGAGATCCTGCCAAAGTTGGATCTCAGAATTCTCAGCTCAGTTACATCTGCAAAAGTACCATATCCTGGAAACAAAAATGCTAAGCTCTCTTTTCATGCACCTTTTTTTTAAAATTACCTAATGCGCGACTTAATTTTTCCTGAAAACAGAATAAATGTTCTCTGTAAACAAAAATATCTACAGATCACAATTCACTCACATTTACATAACTGCTTTTGTGTAACCTTTTCTTTTATGATATTCTGCTGTCAGAAGCCTTATCTATCAGCTTGGAGCTCTATTTATTTATACAATTCAACATATGATCTCATTTCTTTTAAAACTCAAGAATTAAGCAGTTTCACCACTCTCTTCATGTAAAATAAGTACTTTCCTTTTTTCTGAGGACTACTAGAACACTCATTTTCCATACATAATCCGATTATTTTTAAAGAAATGTTTCTATACAAGTTCATTTATATTGCATCCTTATAAGAAGGCTATTTTTCACTCATGACGTTAATAACTGACAAACTAAAAGGAGACTTATCTCATACCTTTTTCTACAATTTCCCGAAAAGCAGCTGAAGTTATAGCAGGGTTTGTACACATTTCTGCACACGGAATTTAAGTATGTTTAACTCTTTCTAGATGGGCGTCCCATATATGCATTCCCTACAAACATCTCTCACAGCCGGGTGCCCCACCCAACCATCACTAGAGAGCAAAGCAAGCTCAAGGGACGAGTGATGCATATATCTTTTAAGTTGAAACATTTTTTAAAGCTTTTTCAGGACGGGCGTCTCATATACACATTCCCTAAAATGTCTCTTACAGCTGGGTGTCCCATCCAGGCATCACTAGAGATTGCATTCAGAGGACAGGTGATGCGTATACGCATTTTAAGCTGGAACGTTTTTCTGAAGACCACCAGATGGCATCCTATGTCCATTACTTTTGAAATGACAGTTTTAAGTTCCTGACCTTGAGCCTGATATAGTCTGCCTGACTTTGGTATTTTACTCATCAACTGTTGCAAGGGTGGGAGAGGAGGAAAAGAGTAAACAGAGGTGGTCTCTTTAAATACTGACGTGCTAATATAAACATTCGCCTGTCTGATTCATATCCAATTCCTTTTTTTATTCTATTTTTGTCCTCTACTATGTATGGTCTTTCAGGGTTACCATGCAGAGTTTTGCTATGTTTTTCATTGCCTTCAGATATATTTCCGTTTCTTCTCTTTCTATTTGGGAAAGCCTCACCTCCAGTCTATTATGGCAGGAAGGTGCTATTTATCAGAGCAAGAATACCCTCGTATGGTTAATAAACCATTTACTAACACAGATCAGAGTGACGATTAATTTTCTAAAGAGTTAGAAAAAGATACTTGCTTCCGTGCTTCGAGATTTACCACACCCAGTTTTCATTTTAAATTTTGTTACTTGTTACTGTAAATAGTCTTTATTGTGTTGTTTTGTTAATTTTAAACTTTATTGATGGATTTTATCATGTAAAACTTTGTAATAATTTGAATAGCGCTTACGTAAATTATTTTACAAAATAAGCAATTTTTTACGTATATTTTCATGCAAAATAAAGGAAAAAAGTTATTAAATGCTTATTTTAACATATATAAGAGCTAAAGTAATAATCAAAAATGATACCAAAAATTACGATGCTAGAAGTAAAATTTTTTGTTTTTCTGATTTTTTTATAAAATTAGGCTTAGCGTTAAATTAGGCTCCGTCATGCACGGTGACTACATTCGAATCCCTTCCGTTCCACAAACAAAGGTTTGTCTTAAACAAAGGTGCGCAGTTGCCAAAGTTTTAAGACCACTGGATGGTGTCCTGTGTCCATTACTTTTGAACTGAACATAGCTCTAGGATCTCACCTCCAGTTCGATTACATTCTGCAAAACTTTGATGTAAGTTATATGGAGGAGGAGGGAAGTGTAATGTACACAAAGAGATCTTGTCTCTTTAACTCGCCACATGACATATTCTGACAACCCTCAGAATCCTTTTTTTAAAATTCTATTAATTTTTTTAATACTTATTATTTAGTATAAAAAATTATCCTATGCAGGGTCTTTTCGAGCTACTATGCAGGGTTTTATTACACTTTGCATTGCTTTTATTGCTTATATTTTACATACTTCCCTTTTGATTTCGTAGTCTTCAGTTTATATTTAAGTGTTATTTAATGGAGGAAGGATATACTCACATCGTTAATGGGCCAAAGAGTGGAGCGATATTTCTGGTCATTCTGATACAGATATTTTGTGAGAGACAGGTCAATGAGTGTCTGCTCTCCCTTTCCCTTGAAAGACTTTGTTACTTCTTCTAGTAAACAGTCTTTGTTACATTTTAAAATTAAAGTTTATAAGCGTATTTAGTCTATTAAAACTTCAGAATAATTTTAATAACGCTCCTGAAAATTATTTCTCAAAATAAGCATTTTTAAAATCATTTTCATGTAAAGAAAAAAAATTATTAAAGGGAATTGAATAAATTAAAACATTTATCTATACACAAACTTTCCTGAATGTCATTATAAGAATAAAACAAATAGCTTTAGTAGCTATTTGTTGGATGCATTATTATTGAACATAATTTAACACCTAATATAACTAAAATAAATTCGAGACTAAAATCAACTTTGTAAAATTTAACAGCTAATTAGCACTACATTACATAATTCCTAAAAAATTGACACTTTTTATACTGAACATTTAGCATTATATATTTTAAAGAAGATTAGTGACATTTAAGTTTTGCCAACAATTAGTTTTACAAAGACCGATTTTTTGTAAAAATTTACTCTACTGAACCCTTTGGAGAATCCGTTTCTTTTTTGACCGCGAGATCAGCGCCAGCAAGCATCCACACAAATTTCCAGATGGCTGCTACACAAAACCAAAACAAGAATTTAAGACGGTTGATCTTTGGATTATGGTAACTTGGTGATTTTTTGGTGACCAACTCTGCTACAGCAACCCTCTATTTTTTTTTCGCCGCCATCTTGTCTTCACGAAGTAAAGACATGTTTCTTTTCTTTTTATTTACTGAACACTTTCTCCAACAATCTACTAGCCGAAATACGCTTATGCTAGAAATTTTATGTAACAAAACTGCTTAATCATGACAAATATTAACTGCAAAATTGGGAAAAGTGCACAATCGCAAACTCCTTGCGCATTTTTCAGAATAGCACATACACATAAACCATTTACACATCGACTTATTTTTACTTAAAAAAACATCCCAGAATTGCACAAAAATGACATTGCACACACTCTTAACTTTATCCATCTACACTGCTATTTTCTCATAAATTACAAAAATTTGCACGAAAATGCAAAAACTTCTGTGAATCTTTAAACTCGGTAAAAAGCGCATATATGAAATTACCTGATCACGAAAAAGTATATACCCTTTCCAAGGATGAACATTTCCACATATAAAACAAATAAAATATACAAAACTTCTACCTCTAAATTATCTATTATATTATAAATGCCACCAACGGATTCATACCGCAAACATTACAAATGGTTACAAATACTTAGAGTCAAATATTTAAATTATTTCCATACAAGTTTACTTCAACTGAAATGTATACCAAATTCCTACAAACATAAAATTCACAAAATAACTATCATTTAATTAAAATATCACTAAACCATGTACACGTCGACTTATTTTTACTTAAAAAAACATCCCAGAATTCCATAAAAATGGCATTGCGCACACTCTTCACTATATCCATGTACTGCTTTTTTCTCATAAATTAGAAAAATTTCACGAAAATGCATGAAAATACTCAACGTATTCTACTCAGATATATTCCAAAATACTACAAACACATAACTCACAAAATCACGATCATTAAATTAAAATATAATTAAAAAACACTACTTAAAAATAAATATGCACATTCATTAAATTAATAAAAATTAGATTACAATCCTAATTACTTTAAACTAAATCATTGCTAATAACAATTTTCCAATAATACCATATTAATTTATTTACTCCTTACATTTAGAACAATGCATAAAAATAATATCCTCAAATGATTAAAAATACTAACTTACCTAACCTTCAGAATCTTCATTACGTGGCACGCACACTTCCCTACAGAAAGAGTTCCAATCGGCTGCAGTACTACTGCTAATTTCTAAATCCAAAATCCAGTAGTCAACTGGCAGTCTATTCACCCAGTAATAAGAAATTAATAAAATTTCACCCATACTTAAACTATTTCAGCAAACCACGTACCCTTCCTTACACTCCGTTTCACAAAATGTCCATTTTCACCAGATTTCTTGCACCGCCATTCAAACTTATCTGTAATATCCTTCCTTTCACATCATCTCAACTTATTATCAGATAAATGCATTAAAAATTTAGAATTCACTTTACATAGTGCCATGCAATCCGAAAATTAACATTATTTCACACAACATACAATGAAGCTTAATACAAAATAATATAGTACAACAGTTTTCCAAATTCCCCCACTTTTCCGATTAAAGAACTATAATTTGTCCATTAATGTCACATGACATATCTCATGATCTCTCATTTCCCTCACACAAAATAATGTGTAATCAGAACTGAGTACTTCTCACATTATTACCAAAGTCCTAGGTAGTAACCTTTATCGCCTCCAAAATGTCCCCAAACTACCAGTTACCATATTCCAAAGATCAGCCCATTCTACAAGTCGAAGAGCAAGATGATGGCCACATTCTTTAGGTTATTTGGTGTAAGTGGAATTAATGCCCATCAATGGGGGGAAAAAAAACTGATTTTTTGATGGAGTTATCATCAGAATTAGTGAAACCACATATGAAACGGAGGCTTCAAAACCTAACTGTAAATGGAGAAATAAAAATGTGCTTCAGAGAGGGCTAGGAATTTCCAGCGGAATCTATTCTAGCCCAGATGTAACCAATACCCTTAAAAAGTGTAAAATATGTTTTATTTGTCTCCCTAGGCTAAGAAGAAAAATTACCTATCTATATTTCAGCTACAAGAATCAAATACATAATGAATGTGCTAAGATAATTTGCTAAAAATAGTGTTGAAAATGCTTAAAATAATGTGCCACAGTTTTTTTAATATTCTTTATATATTATACTTTTTTTTACATTATTTTATATAATCCAGGTTCTGTAAATAGAAAATTTATTAAATAGTTTAGTTTATATGCATTTGCAAGTAAGCAGTGTTTATTTTATTTGATTAAGCGGGTAAATGTTTACAATTGGATGCCCCTTGTGTTTTGGCGATTCTTTTTTGACGCCAAGATCAGCGCCAGGAAGGCACAATTTCAAGATGGCCGCTACACAAAACCAAAATGAGAAGTCAATGTAATTGCACAAACTCTGTGCCCATGTACACATCAATCTGTTTTCACTTAAAAAAAATCCCAGAATTGCAGAAACTAGGTATTGCGCACTGCCTTAAATTTGTCCATGTACACATCAATCTATTTTCATTTAAAAAAAATCAGAAAGCTAAAACAAAAATAAAACTATCATGGTAAAGAGAAATGAGGTTTCATCGGCAAAATTTTTTTTAAAAAATTGTCGCCAATCAAAGGGGCACCCAAGAGTTTCGTACTTTTCCGTATGATTTAAAAATTAAAATTTAATGCATTAATTTTAGAGTTTCAAAAAGAATTACTTCAGTATAACAAGCAAAGTAACAGAAAATAAACCTCTATACTTTAAGGGTTAAAATAAGAAACTGCCACAGAGTGAAGTATCTTCCATCCACCCTTTTTTTTTTTTTTTTAATAATTTTTTTTTTTTAAAGCTATGAGGACGAGATTTGGTTTAAATGTTATATTAAGTATTTCTAACTAATTTTTAATAAAGCATATAAAAACACAAATTACTCTTTGCAAATATATCATAAGAAACATGACTGGTGTTTCATACAAATTACTGAACTAGTCGTTTTAAACGCTTCTAACGAACTACGTCACACATTTCGTTTAAATGTATCGCTTAACATAGTGCTTTACTACTAAATACTGAAACATACAGGACTGTGGGTAAGAATCATGAAATTCTGAGAAAATGAGTAGAATAGCTTATCTACAAGCTCCACCATTTTGGACATTACGGAGGCAATCAAGTGATAAGGAAAATTTCGACATATCAGAAATATTGCTCACATACATTAAACTTTCTTCAAACAATATCTGCTAAATGGACGTCATTAGATTTTAAAGAATGCAAACTCAGAATTACACGAAAATTAAACAACTACTTTTAAACAACGGGAATAGAAATACTATCCAGATACACGAATACACCCAGGAATTCTAAATTTGTAACTGAATTGTTAACTATTTAGAGAACAACAAAATAATAATAAAAACAGCCATTTTTGATACTCACAATTTGTGGTTCAGCGTTCGAAAGAACGTATCAAATCTAGTTTGGGACATTTTCCACTCTTCTCTACAGGTAACTAAATGATTCTTAACTACAGAGGTACAAGAATTCGTCAGTACAGCAACAATCTCGTAAATTCTACGTGACGAAACAGGAACAACGACGAAATATCACAACACGTACGTATTGCAATGACGATAACATACATACGTTGCCAAATTGAAGGTTACAAATTTTCAGACACGCTTCAGGTTTCAAAGCGTATGATAGTAGTATCAAGGCCAACTAGATATCTACAGGCCTGCTCCAATCTGATGATCACATGATCTGACGTCATAATCTTAGTCCTTCAATTTTGTAAGTTGGCATTGCTTCGCCGTAGGACTAGTGCTAGTGAGATAATTGTTTACATGTGTTTTTTCTTCTGAAAAATTTTGTATTTTACCGGAAAGTAAAATATTATATTGTGAATTCGAATTTATAAGAAAAAGTGTGTTTTAGAATGCCAAGAAAGTGTAGTGTACGTAAATGGCGATCAAATTACGATAGCAGTAATGAACATGTGTCTACTTTCAAATTTCCTTCGGATGCTGTACTCTCTCAGAAATGGATAAAAAATATTAATCGCAAAGATTTTGTAGCTGGCAAACACAGTAGTGTATGCATTAAGCATTTCGAAGAAGAATTTATCGTTCGAGAAGATAAAGCTGTTCGTGATGATGGAACGGTATTAGTAGTTCCTAGAACTATTCCAGCTTTAAAAAAAGATGCTTATCCAACGATTTTTCAAAACCAGCCATCTTATTTTTCGAAGAAATTTCCCACAAAAAGAAAAACACCGGAAGAAAGAGAAGCAGAAATTGATATTCGTTGTGATAAACAATTTGAACAGTGGAAAAAGAATGATTTTCCCGCGTAAGTATTTTTTTTTATGTACTTTGATAAGTTAGGTAAAAAATATCACAATGTCATGTTGTTTTCTTTCCAGATGTGAAAAAAAGGACTTAATAATAATCAAAATATGTTAAATACATTATAATGTTTCGGTTTATAGCTGGCATCTTTGTTCCTTAACATACAATGATGTATGCTAGAATTTAAACTATATAATTTTATGTTTTTGGTAATTCGTTTGATAATTTTCATGAAAAGTAAGACACCAATTGTTACTATTTTTATGAATTGTAAAGGTGTTAAACAAAGTAATGCTTTTCTTTATGTATTAATTATTATTCATTTTTAAGTTTTGTGAACTGTTAGGAATATAATTTGTGCATTTGATCAAGAAAAACTAACTTTTCTGTTGTTAAAAAAAATTTTTTTTGCATAAATTTACAAATTTGTGGGCAGTATAGCGATAAAAGTAAGTAAAATATTTACACAACTGAACATGTGGAAAGATGTATCCATAAATATAGGTATAGGTATATTTCTGTAATTCAGCTTAATTCAAGGCAATTTCTTTGAGATTCATAAATATGAAACGCGCATAAACTGAAATCACATCACTAAATTCACATAAATCTGTTTTATTTTATTAATATTTATTTTCTTGTTATTATAAGGTTGTTGGTTGTGAAAAGAATCTATTTAAACTTTCATTTAAAAAAATGCAACTTGTGACTATTTTTTTAGAAAATTATTTGCTATTGATTTCAGGTTAAAATTATTTTAAATTATTCTTTAATAAATTACAATATTGTGAATAAATCAGAAATATCACTTCTTAAAGGAAAAATTGGAAAGTACACCCAACAAGTTGCTAATAAAACCTAAACAAATTCTTGAAATATGCACAAACATTATTTTTAAAGGCTTTAATGTTATGCACATGCATTTAGATTTCGAACTATTATACTTAATGATGTTCTGTATGTAGTAAATTACGGATATCATCTTTATAACTTTAAAACAAAAAACTAACAATAGCGAAGCATTTCATTATAAATTTTATATATTTTTAGTGGAAAATACATGCACGGAACAGCTTAAAAACACGTACGTTTCACTGCCGTAATGCAATATTTTGAAGTTTACCAAACATGGACGCCGCTTGTTCGGTGTAGTTTCATTCCCCGATAGTGGAGGAAACTGCGAACCCTCCCTCCTTCTATTCTAACCTCCTTGTAATTCTATGTATTGAAGCAGCGTCTGGGTTAAGCTTTGCGAACTAAGTAAACTGATACATGCCTCACCGTGAGGAAAGAACAATTTCTCGACCTCACTATGATGCAAACATCGAATGAGTGAGTGACATATTTCCTTTCAGTGTTATTTTAACTGATGCATACAGGTATGTGTGATGTAATTTAATTGATATAACTAAATGAACTTACATGCTTGAACCTGAAGGAAAACAAATCTGTGTATTAATGCTAGAATAAAAATAGCGAAAGATTAAGTAAGATATTCTGTTCAGTGTGTTATTTAACTGCTGCATATGTTTTAATTTTGATTCCATATAATTTGTTTTTAATTATAAGAGAAAGAAAATAATTCAATATTGAACCATATTTTGAGTATAACAAAAGTATTTTAAGAAACAACCTTATAAAAATACATTAGTAATTAAAAATATTTAATTTGTGTACAGTCTGAATTTAAATTAAGATGTGGTGGTGTATTTAATTATGGTAAAGCACACTAGAGCTATCTGCGTAATAGGTGTGATGCCTTTGTGGAGGACTTTCTCAGGGAAACTGGTTCGTATACACGTTACACATAAGGAAAACCACGAAAACGCCCATGCAGCCAGCCCGTTCGCGGGATTCGGACCGAACTACCAGTGTTCAGCGACTTTACCGCTCGGCCGCTGGTGGGCCGAAACTAAGATGTAGGGTAAGTTTATTATTATTATTATTGTGCGTATATGTGTAAGAAAATGTATTTTTATTGTTCCATTTTGAATGTATGGAAGGAAGAATAGGATGCCGTGAAATATCGAAGATTATTTACTATAGCAAATAATCACGGTCAGGATATTATATAGAAACTAGGATAAATATTATATAGAAATCTTGGGAGTGTAAGGGATTATAAGAGTACTTTTAGATTATACTGAAAATATATGCACTTCTGCTGAAATCTGAAGTGAATCAGTATGAAGTGACTTTTCACTTTAAAAGAATGTGATAAGTATACTATTTAAAAGTATAAGGATGACGGATATTAAGAAATTTGTAGAATTTTATGGTATTTAAATATGAATTTGTTAAGTCAAATCTTTTTATGTATATTTTTGCTTGAGATATGTAATTTAAACTGAAAATCACGATCATATATTTTCTCATGGAATGTCAAAGTTCATTTGGTATTAAAAAAAGTGCATGAGCAATGAAAATAAATAGAATAATACTTTTTGATTATGTTTTTACCATGGGTCTTAGCAGTTATGCCATCATGTGTTCTGTTCAACAAGATTTATTTAGTGCAAACAATACTACGAAAATATTCAAAAATACCTTGTTTTGCAATATTTATTTCCCTTAATTAACTTAAATATCGTTTTTCATTTTCTAATGCTTTCCTTTACGAAAAGAATTTAATGTTTACAATTATTTTCAGCATTCGTACGAATTCTGTGCATAAAATAAACATTTTCTTTAACAAAATACTTAATCGGAAAGTATATACCCGGTATTTCCGGTGTATCTACCACATATAAAATGATCATTTTGCTTTAGTTTACATTTTTTCCATTACCAAAATCATGTAGCAGACGCGTCGGCCGATGCGTCTTGTCTCCCGGGTGACGTCACTACCAGCAACCAATGGCACGCTTTTTCCGTTCCTGGCCTAACCTTAGTATATTAAAGAACCTTGCCTGTAGATATCTAGTTGGCCTTGGTAGTATTCATCGATTTCTAAAAAACGTTAAAAAGTAATACATTATTAATAATCATCAATTCCGCTTATATTTTAGGCAACATAGACAGAAGTATTTTGATAAATATGTTATGAAAGGATAATTTTCAATTTTTTTTGTCTAATCTCTGAAATTCTACGATTACTTCTTTTCTAAAATCTCATTTTATTTTAAATTCATTCACTTATCGTTTGACTAACAATTTCGCTACCTCTATCCAAGAAAACGACTGTCATTTTATTTTTTCAGCTATAGCATCAAACAGAATATACAGGGCAAGTTTTATCGTATTATTACAATAATACAAAGTGTGGCAAATTGAATCCCTTGAAGCCAATAAAATCTAACTCAAATAAGATATGGAAATTTTGTTTTCATTCTTTGAAACTACACACAATGCCATTTTAAATCAACAACTTTTTTTGTTTTTATTTTAAAGAAAACATCTGTAGCGGCAGCGCCAAACAGGCGATACAGACTCAAAAACTCTGGAGAAAAGCGCCAATTGGCGAAACAGTAAACCTGCTTGACAACACTACGGGCTCACGGGAAGAGAAGAATTCTGTGTGTGTGCGTCTGTGAAACAACTCGTCCTGTGCCTTCCACGTGATATGTAACTGCGATCTGTGTTGTGACTGTACCCTTCCTTAAGCCATTGTTATGTATCTATATTACTTCTCCTTATTAAATATCATTCTTAATGTTAAATAGCCTATCTCAATTAAGATTGCTATTTTTCTAGGTAAGGTTATCTATACTTTTGTAGGTACGCGTTACTAGCGCGCACCTCATATCACTCTCAAGTGTTAACCCCCACTGTTTATGCACTCTTTCTCGGAAGTTATCAAAGACTTTCTGTTGTCTCGGTTCCTTTAGGGCTTTTAAATTTGGACATCTAGGCTAAAGATGTGATTTCCCCACTATGGAAACAGGGTCTGAAGAAAAGTGCGTTAAGTGTCTGCGAAACACATGCTACTCTGATATCGGTGACTATTGCGAACAAACTGGTCTACAACAAAATGTGATCACATCGGTCCTACTTTCAAATAATCTTAACAAAATGCCTAAGCTACATTTGATGTTGTTATCGCTTTCAACAAATATGCCAAATGTTGCATAATCGAGAAAATATAGCTAAGAATTTTATTATTATTATTTTTATTATTATTGTCTATTTTTCAAAAGTGTGTTTTTGTTTTATTATTGTGTGAAGTTGTAACTATATGTCTTTTCTTGTGTGGCAACAACGCTTCTGTAATTCTTCAATTTGAACTTTTGGATGTGTGCCAGGTTTTGATGGCGTAATGCTCTCTGGTGAAAGCGTCGATTGATTGTGTAGATGAAACATGTTGTTTCAGAACGTTATTTCTTTAAAATATGTAAATAAATGTTTTGTTTTTCTGAACTCGGATTATGCAAAACGTTATTTAGTTTCAACATAAAAGTTTGGCGTCCGTTTGACAGGACGTTTTGTGTGATTTCGAGTAGTTTTGATTTAGGCGTTTTGTTAAAATGGAGTTGTTAAAGGCAAAACGTAAAAGTGAACGTACTTCGTTTACGTTAACTACGAAGATTGTGGAAGAAGAATTGCCTACTTGTACGGATCATGAGAGATTGCAAGTGTTGTTGGGGCAACTAATTGACAAATTTGAACGCTTGGACAGTACTCAAAGCAGTGTTTTAGAACAAACCAAGGAAGCTGATTTTGAAAATGAATTTAATACGGCTGAAGGATACAGAGATTCCTTTATAGCTTTAAAGGTGAAACTTCAGAATAAAATTGGACAATTGAATTCGATGAATGTTACTACAGATATTGCTTCAGTTTTCGATTTCGGATCCTAAAGAAAATAAAAACAGGAAGTTCAAACTTCCTAAACTTGAACTGAAAAAATTTTCTGGAGATGCAAGAGAATTTTTAGGCTTTTGGAGCCAATTCTCCAAAATTCATGAAGATGCGGATATTGTGCCGGAAGATAAATTTTTGTACTTATGTCAATAGCAAAAACAGAATGTGCAGTACTGGCTCAAAGGCAGCTCAACTTCTGAACAGTTTTTCCTGTTACCGACCGCCGCGAATTATCCTAAAGCTATCGAGCACTGAAAGAAAGATTTGGTAGAGAAGACCTTCTGGTGCAGATCTATGTAAGAGATTTGCTTGGGCTTGTTACAAAGAATGCTACAACAGGCAGAACGGCGTCGGACTTAGGAGTACTTTATGATAGTATAGAAAGTAAATTACGAGCGCTGGAAAGCTTAGGACGCACCAAGGAAAAGTTTGCTGATTTCTTGGGACCTTTAGTGGAGTCGTGCCTACCTGAGAATATTCTACGAGCCTGGGAGCGGAGTCGAACTTCTGAACAGGGACAGGAAAAGAGTTCTGAAAGAACGCTTGAAAAACTAATGTGTTTTTTTAAGGCATGAAGTAGAATCGGAAGAAATGATTAGATTAGCACAATCAGGATTTACTCATTCTGTTAAGCGTCTTAATAAAATGTTATTTCAGGTAATTCAGATTTAGCAACAGCTGCCGCGCTGGTAAGTACAAATGAAACCAGTAAAGGTAAGCAAAATGTTTGTATATTTTGTGGTAAGCCTCATATGAGTGCTAAGTGTTTTTTAAAGCTGAAAATATGAGCTTAAATGAAAAGAGGCAACTTGTACAAAAGAAAGGTGTTTGTTTTTTCATGTTTAAGAATTGGCCATTTAAAAAACCAATGTAAAGCCAATATTAAATGCCCCATTTGCAGTTGTGATCATATAAAATTTATGTGTCCTCAGAATGTTAGTTCTGTAAAAAAAATGACTCTAAGTTGGATGTTTCCCTTTCTAATAATGGTAAGAGCGAGAAAGTTTATTTGCAAACTTTATGTGTTCTAATTAAAGTTAAAGATCGAGAGAGAAAAATTAGGATTCTCTTGGATTCGGGATCCCAACGATCATACGTTGGGGAGAAAATTATGAAGCGAATGAAGGCTGATCCTATTCGACAGGAGAAAGTAATTCATGGTTTGTTTGGGGGAAGGAAACTGCGCCTGTAAACCCATTCTGTTTTTGCTATTGACATAAGCAGTTTAGATAACACTTTTAGGTGTTTGTTTTGAAGCTTTTTCTGAAAAAAAGATATGTGGATTTGTTCCAACAATCAAGAATGCTCAGATTATAGAGGAATTGAAAAGCAGGAAAATTGAGGTCAGTGACACATTTTGCGAGGAAAGTGAAATTGATTTATTGATAGGTGCAGATGTCATTGGTAAACTGTTAACTGACGAATACCTAGAATTACCCTCTGGTTTAACTGCAGTCAAAACAAAACTGGGTTGGACGGTTATGGGTAAAGAAAATGATACTGTCAGGGATAATGCCCTAATAAGTCTTTCGTTACATGTAAATAATGCTTCTTTGGAATCTTTATGGGAGCTTGAAGTTTTGGGTATTTCCGACCCGACGGAAAATAGTAAAACGAAAAATCTTCATTGCGACTATGAGATTGATTTTCAGAATAAATTATCTATTCGGCCCGATGGTAGATATGAATTTGGAATTACCCTGGAAATGCGAATCTACCAATTTATCAGATAATAAAAGCATTGCTTTGACACGTCATCAAAAAATGATAAGAGGGCAAAAGAAAATAATTCTTTGAAGGAATATCAAGAAGTGTTTAGGAGAGTGGGAAAATTTAAATATTATAGAAAAGGTTCCGGAAAAGGAATTAAACAATAAATGTGCCACTTTTTACCACGCAGACCGGTTATTAAGATGAAATAGTGAAAGCACTAAGGTAAAACCCGTTTTTGATGCTTGTCATCTTGTGAAAAGGGAAAACCATCTTTGAATCAGTGTTTATTGAAAGGACCTAATTTAATAGAATTAGTCCCTGATATTTTAGACAGAATGAGATTTTTCCTATTGGTCTGAGTGCAGACATAGAGAAAGCATTCTTGCAGTTAGGAATTTCTCCGAAGGATAGAGATTACTTGGCGATTTTTCTATCCGAGTGATGAGGGAGAAATAATGTATAGGCTCTGCAGAGTAGTTTTTGGAGTTTCCTGCAGCCCTTATCTACTAGGTGCGTCTATTAAATATCTCTTGGATAATTGTTCATCTGACTTTTTAGATGTGGCTGACAAATTAAAAAATTCGTTTCTATGTAGATAATTGTATTACGGGTGTTT